TGTCGTTAACTCCAATAACGAGTTACAGAATCGCACTACTGGAGCCTTAACATAATGTCAACTGTCCCGTTAATTTCCAGCGAATGTTCGATGGTTTAATCGAAACTCGAGCGACCAATGAAACAACGAGTAAATGCGATTCCTCGAAATGAAATTCGAAAATTCGTGGAACGTAATTTGAAAATCTCGCCGGACGACACAATAGCGCGCCGAGTTCAAGAGCACGAAAATCGAGGTGCACCGTCGGGGGTTAAAAATACACGCATCCACGAACGCAACAATGCGGCGCACTCGTCAGGGTCGATCGCTGTCAAAAACCACCAACCGTCTATCCGCGAGGGAATCAAGTAGAATAAGCGAACTCACAGCTCTCGATGGGTAATCGCGATCCTGCCATCCCTTGGTGGCCAAGTTCCCGTAATTCGCACCCGCGCTAACACTGGCCGTTTCGATTTTGCGGCTCGGTTTTGCTAGACCAGTCCTGGCCGGACTAGAATCCGACCAACGAGTCGGACTGGTCTATCTATAACGCGATTAGTTACCGGCCGACGTAGCCGCGACGGTGCGACTCGCGTACAGGACGTTACACGAAGAATACAGTCCATTCGCGCGCGAGTATGAAGGCGACTAGGGGGACATTACGTTCGCCTAAACGCTCGCCACTTCTCTGACTGACATTGCTTCGCTCGACCGAGGTTCCTGTCCGCTCGTGCTTGCGGTTCCTTATTACGCGCGTTAGGCAGCGTTCACATCTATTGTCTAACAACGATCAGTATATTACATTTCCCTTCGTAAATTTTTGTGCATCACTCTTCCGACATCTTCGGAACAACTGAAAGTTATTTTCATCTTAACAAAGCAAGATACCAAGTAGAGTTCGATTTTATCAATGAAGGAGTTTCTGTGCAGGATAACTTAAATGTAATTTATTGTCACAATATTTCTTCTCGCGTTTTACAGATTAGGGTAATGGTATCGTTAGATATTAGATTTTTAGTGGTGCAACAAAGGGACCATTCATAAATTTACTACTTATCAAACAAAATTACGTTTCTATATATTTATTTCACTATCTAAGTATAACTGTTAACTTGAAACAAAATTAAGGTAAAGATATATATAAAGTTATGAATTTACACTCGTCTTATTTCTTTGATCATTATCAATTAACTGCCTCTTTTTTCTTTCTGAACATTTTTTATCAATTTCTTCAAAAAAATAAGATGTATCGTAAAGAATAATATAATGATACCATAGAGATGCTAAGTTACACGCTATCCTACAATAGAGTAGCTATTTCTACAATCGAATGTGATATCATTCTTTGTGACATTTCAAATATGCTATCTAAACTCTTCCACAATGGAGTAGTTAATCAGTAGTTAATATAATACAAGAGAGATTGTATAAACGATCGAATTTCCTTATTCCGCATGAGACGTAATCTTGCGAATTGCGTAATCAGCGTTATAGTGAACTAAATACGATGAAGCCAAAGAATCACGCTAGCTAGATCATCGATGCAACGTTGTCTCGTCTATTAATGCTAATATGAATGCTACTTTAAGGCTTTTAAAGAGCTGTAAGACTAAGACAGCCTACATGCTTAAGCGTGCACCTATGCGTCGCACACACGTGCGTGGCACACACTCGCCCTCGGCCCTTCAAGTGGGAGAAACACGAAGAGATACGTGGGTGGAAGCTGACGCGGTGCGCGAGAGAGTGAATGTCAACGAAGTGTCGCGTTAAAAAGTACCCGAGCCCCATCGAAGCTCGACTCCGTTTTCCAAAACCGGTCTACCGCGGAATTCGCGCCGTGGGAATTGGCACAGCGTGTCGTCGCTCTGTGCGCTGTTTATCTCTTTGCAGAAATATCTAGAATTATGGATTCGCGGAGCGTTGAGAATATTGAGCCGCGCCGGGGCTGCATCGTGTGAAACTGCGATGGAGGTTTGTCCAACCCTTTTCCTCCTCTTATTGCAGATACGAGAAATATAAAAGAAACAACGAAGATATAAGTAACATCAAAGTATCGAAAAAATAATCGCGTAACAACCGGTTACGTCTAAGGTTGACGTGTCGCGCAAAAACATGGGACACGAAGTATCGATAAGCCTGGTTTCGCGGAACGACCGAATAAGCATTCTGCGAGTATAAAGTCATTTCTTACCGAAATATTCTCCTTCCTCCTCCTGCTTCTCCATTTCTTCTTCCAACTGTCTTGTCAGTTCCTCTATCTTTCTCTCTGCTTCCGTTGGCCCCTGCGAAAAGCCGTTTGCACGTGGTGACTTATCAATAGCAGATGCACGAGTGTCAAGCGTAATTAGCGCATACTACGCAGTCAATTTATGAAATACCAAAATTTTTTACACGAAATTTAGCCGTGAAAAAATTTATACATAGTCGTTTTTGTTTAACACTTGTCCGACTTATATTAAGTTAAGAAAGAGTGCTTAAATATTTTACATTTGGACTATCGTTTACGCTCAAACGCTTAACATAAAGTGCTGCCAATAAATACATAAATACATAAACATCGAGAAATTGTTTCCACTCAACGTCATTAACATTCATCGACTTTTTTATCCAATAGAAAAATACAGAAGTATAGAAAAAGCAAGCAAATGAGGACAAAAATATTAAGGTAGTACGCAGAAAACCAAAACATTGTTAAAAATTATATTTTGTACAGGCTAATAATGAAGAAGTGTGCAAGTGAAAAAGTCCAACGATTACAAGCAGAATTTTAGCTTAACTGCGCGTTAATTTTATCATCGCATAGGTCAAGCGTTATGTAAAATGCGAATGATTAACTCGTCAGCATTAATGAGATCATCACTTGTAAAACGCAACAGAGGCATGCCTTGGAAATTACTCACGGTTTTTAGGAAGTATATATTGTTTTGAAAAAACATTTAAATAACCTGTACTCTCAGATAACACAAAACACTTTTAGAATTATCCTAAATAAATCCAATTTCTCCTGGCACGTTTGTAACTCACAACTTTGTTGTTACACATAAATATTTACTATAAATTTTATTTTCTTATCTCATATTTTATGTGTATATATGCTTATTTTTAGTTATACGATGTATATTTTATGTTAGTTTATTTTAGAATGTCCTACGCAATATTCTCAAGATATTTTACAGATGCTAATATGGAACGATCAGAGAATTATTTTTTCTCAGAATATCTCTCCCCAGAGATCCTGGGATTATTACATATATCCACAGGATGTCCTCTGGATATCCTCGTGCTATCTGGATTGTCTATAAGAATGAGATTTAAGTAAAATAAAGTTACAATACAGTAAATTTAAATGCAATAGAATAATCATAGTTCTATTTATATCAATTTTACATACAGTCCTTATCATCTTAAATCATCACATAAAAAAAGCATAACCGTGACGTGCCGTTATAATTTATTCATATACCACTTTCATAATTTTCTTAGAAAAGCATGCAGCAAGGCAACAAACAAGTATTGTGCAGAATCAGAGATAAATGATATCACACACAGGAGTTTCAGAATGATATTTGTTATACAGGTACAAGACTTTTATAAGCACAGGATCTGTGAGCATGAATTTTGCAAGCATTAGCGATAAATTTACCGAAGGTCTAGGTGGGATGACATTGTAGGGAAGCAATCCTTTCCCAGATGCAGGTTTCATTGGCGGACTAACAGGTTTTATATCTTCTGCTTCCGGATCGGAGGGCCTTTGTAATACAGGTACACCGGCATTTAGAAATACGGGCCCTGCAACTCCGCTCGTGACGCCAGGGGGGAGACTAGTTATCCTAGGACCAATATTAATGTCAGCTTCATTGGTTGTAGTTGAAGCACTAGTAACAGGTGCTTGCACCTGCCCACGTACAGGACTCCCCATGATATTGTTAGATGAAGAAAGTGGCCCATGTCTAGGTGAATTGATTATACTCTGTGAATTAATCTCTGACGTTATTTGACTATGCGTTGGACTCGTTTTTGGCGATCCCCTGGTTGTATTATTATTGCCAATAATAACCCTAGCAGGGTCACTTCGATTTGGAGAGTAGAGTGGTGAACTCCTCGTAGCTGGGGGATCTGATACATCTGGCACATAGTTCCTGTCATTCTGTTGTAGTGTACCTAATCTCAGGTGTTCCGCAGAGCGATTTGAAGAGTAAACGGGAGAATTCCTCGTAGGGAAATCTGCGCGATTCTCTTGATGATAGTTTCTCTCATTCTGAGGCATTCCACGATTTGGAGAATAACATGGAGAATTACGGCATGCTGTCTGTTCTCCTGGACGAATTCCGTACACTGGTGAATTCCTGGTTTGCGAGTCCCCTGGAAAATTTGCGTTCGAAGTTCTTGAGGATGGCTCAATGTATTGTTTATAATTCTGAGTATTATCCTGTCGAAATTGGGACGACTGACTGTCAATTTGATTTGTGGCGCGAAATCCTTGCTGTCCAGTTATGGTATTGTCCAATGCACTGCGATAATGATGAGGTTCAGGTGGCAAACGTATCGGGGGAGATTCACTGTGATACGGTAAGCCAGATCTAGGAGATTGTTGCTGTTGTTGATCAGAGCTATAGCTAAAGTTTCTGTTTGGTGGTTGCAGTTCAGAAGGGGGAACATAAGCGCTCCTTCCAGCTTGATGGTCTGAAGAGGTGGAGGATGAACCCTGTAAGTACCTAGATGTGGATGAGTCAATTGATCGTTGTAAACTTGAAGCATCGTAGCTTTGACCACGTGTGCTCCCACCTCTTTGTTGCGTGTATGACAAACTTTGGGTCATTCCACGCTGATTCTGAGATTGATTTACTTTTCCAGTCATAACGACATAGTCACCGCCATTGATATTCGCTGGATGATAATAATTAGGTGGAACCTGAGGACCTGGTTTGTTTTGTATATTGTCAGAAAAGTGTACTTCCTGTATGTTCTCATACACTGGTGGTGCCTCATATGGTGGCAGTTCCTTTGCAGGTGACGTGCTTTGATAACGGTTACCAGTTGGTACTTGTGGCTGAGCTTTCCTAAAGTTTCCCTCATAGGACTCACTGGCTAGTGAGCCTCTGGGGCTGCTTTTAGGGCTTTTCCTGGACTCTACTGGATGATAGTAAGGGGGATGCGACTGATTCTGTTGCTGATAATAATCTATGTTCTCATAAACAGGAACCTGTTGGTGACTTCCACGAGTTTGATTTTGCTGTTGTTGTTGTTGTTGTTGCTGCTGCTGCTGCTGCTGCTGTGCACTGATCTGTTCTACTGGCTTGGGTGTAGCGAATCTCGAAGCAACTATTATATTTTCACGTTCGTAGAGCTTATAGTCGGTGGAGGCTGTTTGTCTGGAAATATCCGAGCTATTGCCTTCGATAAAGCTCTCGATAGCACCGACCGGTCTACCAGACGCTCTGGCATCGTTTCTGTTAGCTATGTTCCTGGATACAGGTACTTGGGCTTCAGGCCTCGAGCCCGAGACTCTGCCCGTACCACCAGTGTCCGCGGTGTCATCATCAAGGTGCAGATAACCCAACTTTTGTACGTAGGAAGTGTCCGCCGAATTACACATTGGCAACAATTTTTCTTAGGACGCTGATCACTGATAAATCGTGCTACCCCTCACGCGCACCCTAGTCGAGCACTTTTCCGAACTAAGCCACCGACGACAAGAATCGACTCGACATTGTAAAATGTCGTGCTACACCAGTTCGATGGTCCGCTTGTCAAACCTTCTTCCCTCTTCCTCCTCCTTCTTCTTCTTCTCTTCCTCCTCCTCCTCTTCCTCCCTCACTTCTCCTTATTGCGTGTTCTCGTAATTTTCTCACGGGATGGACAAGAAACCGAACGCAAGGTTACGTGTTACGTATACAGGCAGCCTCGAATCCCCTTTTTCTCCCTTGATTTCGGGCTACGCCCTTCGATCAAGGCGCCTCGAATTCACGTTAGTGCTCCTCGAGTGCCGACACGCCGACCGGCGCACACCTCGGGCCCCTGTCGTCGCGGCACCGAAAAATCACCACCTGCGAAAATTCATGCGACGACGCACATGCACGGAAGCACACGTACAAGTGACTTCGAACCGCCTACTGTCAAGACAGGAACCTGTCGTAAATGTCACAGCGCTATGATACTCTTGACGGTAACTATTAGCACTTCTGTTGTACCGCGACAGAATTGAAGACGGTGTCGCTGCTCAATAAGAAAGAAAACTTCAAATATCTTCGCGCAGACCACTGATTGGTAGTTGGTGGCGGCACCGACGGTGCTGCAGTGAAGTAGAAAGATAAATTAGATCCCGTGTGAATCGTTTGTGGGATAATATAAGTTTAAGTTATCCGCAACAGAATTTTAATAGAGAAAGTTATGCTGTAAGATTCAAAATTATATATATATGGATTGTTTATATATTTTCTACATGATATATACATGGTTATTCTTCATGTAAGGAATGTAAATTACATAGAATATTGCAAATTTTATTAAACTGGAACAATACATGCGCGCGCTACGCGCGTGCCATATAGCTAATAGAAAAAATAAAAAATATAAAATAAAATAAAAATTAAATTAAATTAAAATATACTTTAATTAATTAATAATTATAGGGAGAGACAGAGAGATACAGGGAGAGACAGGGAGAGATAGGGAGAGACAGAGAGAGACAGGGAGAGACAAATAGTTA